GGGCTAAGCCTAATTTAGCTCTGTTATCCCAGAGTCCCCAGGGTCTGGCCCATCCCAGCCCTCAGTGCCTGCATCTTCAGGAATGATGGTGGATATGGGTCTCAGGAGGGGCGGTCTTACAAAGAGATTCCCTGTTGGCCCAAGGCCCTTAGTGAAGGCTGGAGGCTGGATTTGAAGGATGCTTCATGGACACCAATGGATGCCCTGCCTCTGCCTCGCGACAGAGCCCCTCCGCCTTTACACTGCTTCACACCTCACTGAGACCCAGGTCCTCCTGGCAGAGGGTCTGTTAGCTCCATTTACTAGAGAACTTGAGATACCTGAACAGGCCACAGAGCCGGGGAGGGTGGAATTGGGGTTTCAAGCCAGCCACCCTGTTTCCCTCTGCCCCAGCCTCTAAGCACCCACAGAGCACACAGGTGTCTGACAGTAGACTCCCTCTCACTGGCTCGGCTCCCCCTCTTCTTCCCCCTCTTGCTTGGCCTGAGACTTTCTCACTGAGATACATTCTGGGTTTCTGACTTTGTGGTCCCTGTCCCTTTCCATCTGTAAATTTCTCTTTCAGAAATGCAACCCAGCCCCCTCACTGTGCGCTCTCTTTTCCTGTCTCATCCCCAACACGCTGCCTCCAACCCTTTCACTCATCTGCCCTTTTACAGCCTCTTGGGCTGCGCCCAGCAGGTTGGAGGGGCAGAATCCTGGGTGCTGGTGCCCCTGTGCTCTGAGTCTCCACTAACAGCCATCCCCTCCCCGACTCCCCCATGTACTTGCTGCTCAGCTTCCCCACGCCTTGCAGTATCAGCCCTTTCAAGAGCCTCCTGGGTCCCTGGGGGAGCTCAGCACCCCACACATTTTGAGGAATGAAGCCAGGTGGCTGTTAGATTCTAGGGTGAGGAATCTAACATGTGGTCCTGGAGCTTCTAGAGGAAAGTCTTCGATGCCTATAGCAGCCTTCCTCAGACACTAACCCTTCCCCACACTGAGGCTCGCACAGCAAGCAAGGTCTGGGCATACTGACTTTCTTACGAGGGGACATGACTTGGAGATGAAAGAGCGAAGTGGGAGGGCTCCTGGGACGCGTGGACTCCCTGGGGTCCAGCAGCACTTGGAGTTCTTCTTAAAGGCACAGATTCTGGGGACCTGCCCCAGGCCTGGGAATCATAATCTCTAAAGGGAGATCTCAGGAATCCACATTGTAACAGCTTCGTGGCAGTCTGCAGCCCACAGGTGTGACAGTGCTCTATGGCATCAGGGAGTCTTCCTCATTTTGAGTCTTGATGGAAACCGGCTTGAAAAGAAGCCTTGAATACACGGAGAGGACAACAGGGTGAGGAAAACTGGTGACCAGGCTGGTGGCTTAGGAGCAATTTTCTATTTTCCAAACCTTTTCTGTGACCATATGACTTTCCATGTATTATTTTGTTCTTCCTCAGAATGGAAAGGCAAACATTCTTGTGGGCAGAGCACTGGATCAGGAGACTGGGGTTCTTGCCTGGCTCTGCCAAGAACACGGTGTGTGAGTTTGGTAACTCAGTTCCCATACTTACTATCTACCTGTCTCATGACTGTGACCCTCCCATCCGGGACGCACACCCTGTGCATCGTCGTTCCCACCCCACCTGGGCCAGCCTTCTGGATGTTCATCGGGTTGATGGGATGAGAGAGGGCTGGGAGGGGCAGGGATAGGGAAGTAAGGGGGTCCCAGGGGGACTCATCTCTGGCTCCTCCTTCCCACCACTCCGGCCCTGGGGTTTGGGAAGAGGTGAGGTGATAAGAGGAGGAGGAGGTGTCTTCTCACCGGAGCTGGTGGAGGGGAGGGACTGGCAGTGGCGATACCAGGGCCACTCAGCCCTCGCTTTTCACAAGCACTTTCTTTTTTGGGTGGAAGAAATTGGAGGGAGGGGGTGAACAATCTGTGGTTGATGAGCCAGGTTGTAAGACCCTCTGACAGTCCCTCAGGTTATGGGGGTACCACCCCAGCCACCCTCTTCCTCCAGGGACATGTCCCCAGGTGCATCTGGTTCTGAGACTCCTAATCCCTCCTGCCCCAGAAAGCTGGGTGGGAGCTCTGGGTCATCCTGTTCAGGGGCAGGGGGGATGGATCACTTGACCTGAGGACTAGTGTGGAAGGGAGGGGGAAAGCAAGGGAGGAGTAAGACTCCATTTGGCCTCCCACAGCCAAGCACTTAGCAGAAGTTCCCCCCAAAGAGGTGTCAGCATTCAACTGTCTCACATCTTCTGGAGATAGTCATTACTGAAATCTTGCAGGTTTCCCAAAAGGTAGCCAAGGATCCCAAGGTCACCGTCTCTTTCAAGCAATGCTGCCCCACTTGGAACAGCAGGCAGAAACGCCCGCCTTTCTTAAAGCAGGGGAAATGATGGGTAAGGGGGGAGGAGGCCTGTCCTGGTTCTGGCCTCCATTGTCAGGGGCTGTGCTGATTCTCTCTCCCCTCCACCTTCCCTGGGTCATGCCTGCCCCCTGGGGTCCCCAGCTTTGCCTTCGCCTGCCAGCCTGCCTCTCGGTTCAGCTCTAGTTGGGAGCAGAGAGTCCCCATGGACGCCTAAGGGTGAAGCCCTGTTGGGCTGGGACAGAGATGTAGAGATTCAGCCCCCAGGGGAGAATTGAAGAGGGCTGGGGAGGCGGGGGAGAGGAAAGGTTGGCCTTTACCAGATGAAAGTATTTTTCAAAACACTCTTTAAAAATGTAAATCTTTATCTATATATTGACATGCAAAAAATTCCATGACACCTTGTGGAGTGAAAAAGAAAAACACATTACAAAGCAGCACGTGTGGTGTTTATATAAAATTATGTGTGTGCTCGAGCACGCACACGCACGCACACAAATGACAGAAACAAGGAGGCTGGTGCAGGGAGCGACATCTGGAAGAGTGGTCACCAAAAAGTTAATCTTAAATTTGGGGTGATTTATACAGTTCTGATTTTACTTTTACTGCTTATGTTTTCTATATGAGTATGTTTTATCTTTATATACAGGAAAACTCCCAATGATGCTATTTTCAATGGGGGGGGAGGGAAAAGATAGTTTTCATTGTAAAAGGAATCTAGCTACATTAGTCAACAGAAAAGGAAAAATAGAACAGAAAAGCGATAGTCCTATCACCTGAGCAGCCCTTCAGAACATGTGGAGGGTTTCCTTCCTGTCAGCCGGCTTCTGAATCTGTTCAAAGTAGCTTTTCCATCTCGGTATAATAGCAGATTGGAAGGTGCCGCACAGGCACCCCATCTCATGTAAGGCTCAGGGCTCCTCTGAAAAGATCAGTTTCCCCCAGTCTACTGAAGCACTGGAGGCTGACATTCAGGCAAGGGAAGTGATTTGCTCAGGTCACACACACCTGAGTGAGGGCAGAGCCAGTCCTGGGGCTGAGCACTGGCAGCCCAGTGCTACTTGGTGCCTTTCTAGTGCCCCTGGTGCCATGCCCAGGTGAGAGCTTTTGTAGGCCCAGCCTGGCTCAAGGCCCTGCAGAGCCCAGGCTGTTGTCAGATGTATTCGCCAAGGAACCAGGTTCCAGGTCTGCCTGGGCCTCTGGCAGGGAGTAAGAGCACAACCGCTTCATGCAAAGCCACTTAGCACAGAGCGTGGACACACGGTGGCCCTCCATGAATATCTGTTGAGCATTCATGGTGGAAATGGCACTGAACCTGCGAGTGCTGCGAGAAGGCCCATTGCATCCCATCTGAGCCATCACGGAAGGCTCCCCGTAGGAGAGGGCCTTGGAGCTGAGCTTTCAAAAGTGGGTGGAATTTCCACGAGGGTCCAGAGAAGAGAAACGGGCTGGTGCTTCAGGTAGAGGGGCTGACTCTCCCAGAAGGCAAACTCCTGAAGCGAGCAGGGACTCGCTGGTCTACACAGTGGGGGCCTTCTAGTCCCAGCCGCCCCTCGTAGAATTTGTGAAGCATTAGCCACGAGGGGGCGGGGTGAGGCGGGGCGGGGCTGAGGTGGCGGGTGTGTGGGGGATCCAGAGAGCTTCATAAAGCCACAGCAAAGGCGCCGCGACACTAGTGACAGCGGCCCGCTAGAGAGGGAGCCCGGGAGCTGCCGCGCGCCCGCCAAACGCAGGCGCAGGACCCA